GGATTTTAGGTATCTCTCTAAGATGTGCCGCAACTGTCAGGAAATCTTAGGGTTGCAATGGTCATTTTAGTTGTAGTTTAAGCACTATAATCCATTTTTATATGAGCTGATATGTGCTGTTGTCTGTTCCTGATACCAATAGGAACACACACTTGGATGAAAGTAACAACTAAAATAGGCTCTTAATATGTTCTGTGCTTCTGTGTTCTCTTTATCAGGAAAAAAAAGGTGTTTTTCCTTCGTATACAATATATAAGAAATCCAAATAATTGTTTGGTTGATGAAGAGTGAAAACATTTATTATTTAAAATTGCAGGCACAACATGCAAATCTTTATTTCTTCAACAATTTATGCTATTAGAGGTCCTTTCATTTATTCCAAAGGATCTGTCTCTACTGCTAAATACTGCACTTGTCATGTCTTTCATGCAAGACACCCTTCCTATGAGTGAGTAGATCTGGTGCTGTAACTAGGACAAGTCAATGCTCTGTTTCTTATCAGAGTGCTGTTATCTGTTTCTCTTTTCAGAGAGTTTGTCCAGCTGGCCTACGGTTCTCATGGCTGAGCCAAGAGGGTAGGTGGAAGAGAATTAGACCAATAGTTTCAGTACATTACACACATTCATCGGCCTCTTGACTTCTACACTAAAATTCTTACCTTTTATGGCAGACCAGGGAAAATGATATAATGGTATGACATTCAGCATATGTATGCATAGGGAGCTGGGGATATAATTCATATTTCTTTACAGGTCATGTTCTGCACGCTTTTCTAGGGGAATTTTGAATTTATGGTCTGAAAAGCCATTTCACTACAAAGTGTAACTAGATCTCCATCGTAAACTATATACAGTGTCAAAGCAAAAGAAAGCAAAGGTGTGGGTTACTGAATGACGGCCTCATCTACACGCAAGTGTGCACACAGTCCATAAAATTCTGCCTTTGAAAGCCAGTAGTAAAATTCTTATTAGAGAATGCCGTGCTAGAAAATGAATTTGCATAGCTGTTACTGTTTCATGCAACAACAACAAAAGTATTTTTTTAATGAAATGATAGAAGGTTGTCTTCATGTGGAGTGGGCTATTGTTAAAAAAAAAAAAAAACTTGCAAAATTAAATTCTTTGGACTGTTTTTCAGTGTGAGTTTTGGGAGGGATGGGAGACTTCTCTAGATATGTTCCAACAAGTGTTTAGTGTACTTTTGTATTATGGAGCTCTGATCTTTTGACTTTCTCCATAGGACTTCAATAGGGTGACTCCAGTTCCAGCTAAATGTGGAGCTGGCTAGGTCCCCAATAAACTGAGGATAATCATACGTAAGCATGTGGCATGTCGGATCTCATTCAAATGAATCCAAAAAGGGAGATGTATGAGTCTGATTCTCACCCCACTCTTCTTCAGTCACCAAGTTATACTGTTATAAATCAACAATGGGTGGTTTATTTCATTTCAAACTTCTTGCTAGCATGCATATTAGCTATCAAATTCCTTAAGCACTTCCATGTTATCCTTCTTCTACCAAACAACTATAGGACCACCACCTCTCCCACAAACTCTCAGTACCACATCTTTAAAATTTCAGAAAAAATGGATCAAAAGTAAGGTTTATTTGCTGTGTCCTTATTTGATATACTAATTGTCTTTGATCCCATTCAGCTATTTAAAAGGATAAAAACATTTTAAGTGGTTAAAAAGAACTGTTACCTGTCTGATCAATAAATGAGGAAGTGCCAGGTAGGGTAAAGTAAACCTCTTGAGAAAGGATTAAGGATGTACAACAGGTGAGTTGCCAACAGTCTTTGCCACATAAATCATCCAACCATAGTATGGGCAATTTATCTTTCTGAGACTGATTAACAGCAGTTCATGGCTGAAATTAGTGTTCTTTAAGGTCTTTCCCACCATAATCTTCCATAATTCTTCTTCAAACTACACTGTTCTTTATAGGCAATATCCTATGCAAGGTGAACTTATGCAAACATTCATAGATCCACTGTTTTTGAACTTTGCCTTAGACTCTTTGAGTGAGGAGAAGCTGGATTTGCTCAAATCCATACATTTCCACACTTTAGGACCTGCAAATCCACATAAATGGTTTATGACAAAAAGCTAGCAAGCATGTTCTGGTAAAAACAAGAATGGTTCACACAGTTCCATCATAAAACCATGTTTTTCACTTCAGTAAGTAAAATTTCCATTATCTCTTCTACACTCTGAAAGGTGACTAAAAACAAATTCTTTTTAAGCCAGGTTAGTTTTGAACAGTCATCCCTCACTAAACCTGCTTAATTTTTTTACTGATATATTTTAGCCTGGTTTGATAGACTTCTAGAAATGCTGACTGGAAGGGATATTTGGACATCGTTGTGTCTAGTCTAGCTCAGAGCAAGTCTACTGACGGCATTAGAATAGGTTTCCCCTCTTCCTGTTTTGCTGATATTTTTCTGGGAAGTCAGGCTATCCCACTATGGTTCCTCATAGCCAGAAATAAAGTAGAAGAGGAGACTCACTGAAAACACTCAAAGGCAGAAGAGAAATAGTTTGAGCTGGCTTTTAAGAGTCTGTTATTAAGAGTCTCTGTGTTCAGTGATACATATTTAGGGAATGGGCATGTCAAAATTGCTTCAAACAGCTGTGGAGTGAACAGTAGTATGCATCCCCTGCAGAGAGGACAACTAAAAGAACAGTTAATGTATGTCACAAGTTGCAGTTACTATGTCAACAGAAAAACAGCCATCCTCAAAGCTTTATACCCTGTGTCAATAGTTTACTGCTCTTTTGGAAGAAATGACCTAAACCAGCACAGGAAAGTGTGTGAGGACAAGCCATCACTCATAAACACTAACAGAAACACTAAGAATGAAAAACTATAGGGAATACCATTTAAAAAAAAAAAAAAAAAAAAAAAAAAACCTTAAAATGAGCAGATTCATCATATTAAAGGGCAGGTAAAAAACTCTGATTAGAATTCCAAAATTGTGATTGATAGCATCTGAGAGGATGGCAGCTTCCTTGTGACAGTTCTTAGAGAAGGCTGGCACTGCAGTGCTGGTGATTGTATGCTGGCAGAACACTGTGATGTGTCACAACTGTGGCTAAACCAGCAATATCTTGATCCCACAGAGTCTGTGTATCTCAAAAACAATGTTTTTGTCAAGCTACGGCAGGGGAGATTCAGGCTGGACATGAGGAAGTATTACTTTTCAGAAAGGGTGGTCAGGCACTGGAATGGACTGCCCAGGGAGGTGGTGGAATCACCGAGCCTGGGGGTGTTCAAGGAAAGACTGGATGTTGTGTTGAGGGACATGGTTTAGTAGGAGCTATTGGGAATAGGTGAACGGTTGGACTGGGTGATCTTTTAGGTCTTTTCCAACCTTAGTGATTCTATGATTCTATGATTCAATGAGAAAATAAATCAGATTTGGAACTTCCATAGAAAAACAGACGGTCTTTTACAAGGAAGTATCAGGAGTTTTCACTGCACCTCCTTAGATCCCAGGAGCCTGTTTCTTAAAAGTGACCTTCACCTCAGGTGATTCCTTCTTCAGCAGAAGCTTTACATGGATTTGGGTCACCTCTGCTTCTTTGAATCATCTGTTACCATCCCACTCATCTCCCTGCAGTGACACAGGGAGGATTTGAGTACAGTCAATCCACTACACTACTTCCACTATTATAACAGAAAATGGATCCACAAGGGGCTGCCAAGGAGAGTTTCTATGTCGTGGAAAGAGGACAGGACAACACTGGTAGGAACTTTTGGGTGCACCAATGGCATGAAGGATGTCTTGTCTCTGAATCATTCAAAGGTTGGTTTCAGGGTTTTTTTTAATCATAAATGATTGCAGTAGACCATCTATAATACAGAGCGAGCAAAACTGCAGGAAAAAATCGGGATTTGTGTTTTAGAAATTGAGTGCAGGTTTACTGTATTTTAGACATAAAATCCACAAGCATGTAGCTTCTATGAAATTGCTCATTGTATTTGTACCTAATGTATACACCCATCAATATATAGCCTTACGTAGTACTTTCTCATCCCCAAAAGTTCTTACAGTACTTTCTACATGCACTTAGGGATTAGTGGTGAGATATATTGAGACATATTGAATTCAAGGATGTTAAAGATGTCTGGGGGTTCCTGTGAGTTCATGATGTTAAAGTTCACAGTTCATGCGTGAAGCATGTGAATCCCATTTATTGAGGGGAGCAGCAAGAGAAAGGGCTTGTCACACATGCTGAGTCGTTGGAAACACGATCACATGAGGTTAGAACAGTCATCATAACTGATGTTAGGGTCATATCTTGTTTCTGATGAGTTTCAGCTGGTTTTTCTCTGGAAATACGGAGCAGCTGTTTTTTAAAGTTTTGTGAAATGCCTTCATATATACAACATGGATGGAATTTTAGAATAATCTTACTTAGAAGATTTTTTAAGCTTCACAATTAACCATAGAGCCCCTTTGGTTGTGTTTCTGCCATGTTCATGTGCCCAACAGAAAGAGCCAGTATCTAATTGGACCATTAGGATCACACAGACTTACCTTTTTCCAGCCAGTAAGGCTTTAGCTGTTACTTTCCGCACTGAGGTTGTAATTTCTATTTGAGTTTAAAGCGTATACTTCAAATACCCACTTACGACTTCAAAGCATTAGATGTGCAAAAATGTACCAAATCCAGATCCAACTTGCTTCAAAGATTATGTAGTATTCCTTTAAAAAAAATGTGCCTCGTTTTTCATCTGTTTGTCTCATTCCAGCTTCCAACAATTTGATCTCAATATTATTTTTTTTCTGGTAAATCAAAGTCTGCTGTAATCTGAAATATTTTTCCATGTAAGCATTTCTGGGCTGGACTTAATTTACTTCTAAATCTTTGTCTGAATAAATAAAATAGACTAACATTCTTAAATCATAATCTGTCAGGTCCGTTTTACAGAGGCTGAGTCGTGCTTATAAACTTTTCCTGAATACACTCCAGTTTTTCAGTGATCTTTCTGAAGAAAGAACATGAGGTCTATGCTCTTATAATACCCCTTTCCTGTTCTGATTACCTGTTCCTTCTGCAGTCAAGGATGGCACTCAAATGTCTAGCTGCTGTGCTGCCACAGGACCTACTGTTTGCAGGCTGCCTTGTATGACTTCTACATAGGGTAAGTTCTATATTTTATGAAGATGTTCCATCCCTAATGTTTTTATACCATAGTCCAGCACTAGTTTACTCCTGTCCTTTTCCAAGATTTCTAGCAGTGATATCCTTTATTTGTGCTGCACACTGAAAAATTCATTGAGCATCATTCGACCAAAATCAGGGCCTCTGAGAATTATCTTCTAGCACACCTTTTCTTCATTTTCGGTTATCTTCAAGCAACCTTAAATGCACGTTTACTGTAGACAGTGCTATGTATGAAATGTGTTTCTTGCATCTGCACATCAAATGGGTCTAAGTGAACTTAGTTGTGAACTGTTGTTTTCTGAGTGCAAGATCAACAGTTAAGAGCTTGTGTACATTATGCAATGTCCTAACCATGCTTACTGATTGCAGGGCACAGATATACCACATCTATCTCTCTTTTGAGCTTCAATCACTCTGCAGGGAGCTATTGCTTTCTGCAGTGGAAGACGTTAGACCACAGTTGGGCTTGATGTACTACCAAAGTTTAAACAGCTTTTGCCAGTTCTCACATATTTCACTTACACATGTCAAAGTAGAGCAAAGAGTAGCCCCAAGGGCTGTTTTGGGCAATTATGGGCAAGATGATGACAATAATCTAGCAGCACTGTTATCACTATCAAGCATCAAGTTTCCTCAGAAAAGACACCTAGATTATGTAATGAGGTAAATTGTATAAAAGCTATCTTAAAAGATTTGCTGTAGAAATCTTTCTGCAACTTCACCCAACACTATGCCACGCTACCCACTGACACACACACTCAACACATGCTGTTTTTCTTTTTTCAAATACTGTCAAAAAATCTGAATTTTCATTCCTCCACTGCTCTCTCAGGTATTGTTTCAAGGAAAATCAGCATTAATGATTGGAAAATTTCTCTCCAACAAGAGAACAGTGGTAACATCATGCTTTCTGCGTGCTCTAAATGACCATTTCACATCAGTTGTGAGATATTTTTATAGTTACTCCCTTTATCCTGATCTTTTTACTCAATTTATAATTTTTTTAACTAAGACTTCAGGCCTTCATTAACAGGTTTCCAACTTCTGATTACTCATGAATATCTGACGTGATTTCCGTAACTTTTTTTGTTTGGATCAAGTTACTTATTTGTAAGTATGATCTAATAATAACAAATTTGTCAAAAATAAAGGGTTTATTTTAGTGAAGAGCTGCCAGTAGGACTCAATGAGGAGGCTCTTGCAATTCCAGAAAAACAAATAAAAAAGTGTGCCACAGGTGTCCATTCTTGAACCCTCACACTACACCAGATTAACCTGAGGACAGATGGTAGGGGGATGGTATGGCATGTCTCAAGTGTCACAGTGCCCTCATGTCAGACAGAGGGAGAGCCCCAGCACAGACCTGTAAAAGTAACTTGTCTCTCAGGCACGTCCCTTCCTGCAGGCTTTGCTGTCATCAATCTGATCTCATACCATCCATAATCTAAGCTTTACATACTTTGGATAAACACCCTGCAATACAAGTGCTTATTTAACCCAATTCACACAGAGCTGTATCCACCTGAGCCAAGCTGGTGAATGACGCACCACAGGTCTGTGCTTCCTCCGTCCACAGCAGAAATGTCATCAAATGCCATGGAATATCAGCCATGCTGCGCTGAGTCTGCGAAGGAAATGCTAGGAAGAGGAGAACCACAAAAAACAGGTGTGAAGGCATAAGCACAAATCCTTTGTTGCGTGAATTAATTCTATTCAAGCCAATTTGCTTATTTCTACCTCTTTACATAGTTTGGAGCTTTTATTTAGTCCATTGGTAACAAAGAACCAATTGTGCCTTCACATTATAGCTTCAGCCAAAATTTGGAAGTCTCCAGCGACCTTGAAACTGAATCAGAAGGGCCAAATAACATACCTAATGTGCAGCTCCAGTGAACTGCCTCAAAAAACTGCAGTTTTATGATCAGCTTGCTATTTCTTCACCCGCAGGAACTGCCAAATCCCTTCAGAGATGGGTGGTAGATCAAACACGTGGTAGAGGATTCAGCAAAGCTGAGATTGCCTCCAATATTCTCTGCTTCTCAGATGCTTCAGTTGATATATCAGCTGAATTGTTTACATATTCCAGAGTTAATTATCTTAAATCAGTTCAAGTAAAAAATACAAAGATTAACATAACTATAGCATAAATATTTAACAAGTTGCAATGCAGTTTTGCGGCAGTAAGTTGTATTAGTAATTAGGAACAATGATTGACATTTTTCTTCAGCTGGAGGCACTACGTAAAATTTAGTATGTGATATCATGGAGAGAGTCCACTGTTTCATCTGTACAATGCAGTTTATGAAAATCACATATCTGTGGAGTAATTGTACTTCATCAGACAGACAAAATAGCAGCTGTTGCTAAGTATGCATTATGTTTAAAGTTTTGCAAAGGATTTGATTTCTTGACATTAAAAAATCTATCTTCCCAGTCTCAAGCTGATATCCTAGTTAAATACAGTACAGATTTCACTGTATCTCTTTCTGTACATTACTCTGGGCTGTAAGATAAGCATTTTGTCTAGACGAACAGTGCATTACTGAACACACAATATGCCATAAATAGTGAGTTTAATTTATTAAAGAAGAACTTCTTGTAAGAATGAAGGAGAAGAAAGCATGATAATTGGTTCTGTTTACTTAAATAAGTTGAGCTGTTTTATTTAGGAACTAGTCTCAGACAATAGTTTCCTTTTTCCCAAATACCAAGCTGATTACATGATTTTGCAAACATTGAACAGAACTGAAAATCAAAATTTTCTCTTGGGAGAACTTACATAAAATATTTCAGTATGTTGAACCAGAGATAAATGTTTCACTTGGGAGCAGCCTGATAGCAAACTGTGGCCAAACTCTGCAGCTTTTGGAAAATTGTGTTTCAGTTGTATGATGCATTTGCTCCTATGAGATTGGGTTGCATTACCTATTATATACCATAACATGACTGATCCCTCGTGGTACATTAGAGAGATTTTATCCATTCTGCATCCCACCAAAACATCTGGACAGATGGGAGAGCACATGTAGCAGCTGAACAACAATTTCCATAAAGAGTCAGAGCAGTGTAGGATTTTTTTAATGTTGGATGGAGCAAAAAGGTAACACTTCCTACTGGGGATTTAATTAAAAAAAAAAAAAAATCCTTTTTATTTAAAGCGTTTTGATATTTCCAAACTGAAAGAGCTGCATCCACCTACCATGCTCAAATTTTCAGATTCAAGACAAAAATCTTGCTCAACAAACACTCTTCATATCTTTTAATTAATATGATTTTTAAAAATCATCTTTACTGAAGTGGATTCTATATGTGAAAAATTCTAGTTCTGAAAAAGAATTCACGAAATAGAATTTCTAATATTCAATCTACATTTTAACCATTGTAAAATCCAAAATAGTTCAAAACTCTGAATATAATCCAGCCTAAAGTCAACGCATTTTACCAGCCAGTGTGGAATAATGGGTTGGTCCCATCAATTCTGGCCAGTTCATCCACACTTAAAGTTTAAGAAATACAGGTATTTGGTCCAGTATGGATATAGCTTAGGAGTTTGATGGTGAGATGAAAGCCAAATTTATCCTAACTATTTATTGTTGAAACTGCCATCAAAAATGCACAATATCTGTCCTTTCTTTCCCCCCCAAAATAGTGGGGGGTGGGGGGAACAGTATTTTTCACAGACTAGCAAAGGTGTGAACTTCATCAGAATGATTTCAGACCACCAGAAATGATCCACAAGCCGCACACTGAGATTTCCATTGCAGTGCACCTAGACAAGTTTTAGGCCTACCACAAAGTGGGGATCTCATTTTTCTGCCACAGAAACTTCAGATCTGTGCCAGGCAAGGACAGAGTTCAGGACTGAGCGCAGACCCAAAACTCCTGCTGCAATGAAGCTGCTAAGGGCAGCAAGGCAGCCTTCACCCCAATCCTCCTCAGTACATCTCTTCCCAAGCAGTAAGCCTCAGCTGGAGTGCAGGTCCTGACACTCACCTTCACTCTCCAGACTCTTTCACCAGTCATCAGAGGACTCTTCCGACTAGGGATTTTGAAACAATTGCTACAGTTTTCATAGCTGCACTATAACGGTTCAAATTATGGATTATGTGCATTACTGCAAGCCACAGAGTGAGAGGAAGGGGATTTAAGTTCTGGGTATTTTATTTAAAGTTTGTATATAGTAAGCAATCATGCAAATTTCTGCAGGAAGCTTACAGGAGACTGGATCGGTCAATACCCCCACTGTTTTCTGGTTTCCTAAGGCTAACCTGCTGATGTTACTTTGTTGGCTTAGGACTTCACTGAAATGCTTATGTATAGTGCCATCCTGCCAGAAAGCAGATCCTGAAGCTGTTATGGGAGGAAAGAAGACTATACCTTCACATGATCTGCCCAAAACAGCAGAGAAGTATGATGGAAAACTGTGTCTGTTCCTTACACGCATGAAGGCTGGGAACAGGCTTTGCGTTGCAGCCACCACCATGCAAGCTCTGGTTTGCTTCTTCTATCTCTGCATCCAGTTCTGGTCTTCTCAGTTCAAGAAAAAGAGGGAACTACTGGAGAGAGTCCAGTGGAGAGCCTCAAAGATGATTAATGTACTGGAGCATCTCCCTTATGAAGAAAGGTTGAGAGACCTGGGGGTTCAGCCTGGAGAAGACTGAGGAGTATCTTATCGATACCAATAAATATATAAATGAATAGAGTCAAGTGGATGTGGCCAGGCCCTTTTCAACAGAACAAGGACAACGGGCAAAAAGCTGGCACAAAGAAAGTTCCATAGAACATCAGAAAAGTCTTCTTTACTTTGAGGATGACAGAACACTGGACTAGACTGCTCAAAGAGGTTATTCAATACCCGCCTGTAAACACTTCTATACAAACTGCTGTAGCAAACTTCTTTAGCAGAGGGGCTAGACTCCTCTGGTTGATCTCCAGAGGTCTCTTCCAACCCCTATGATTCAGTAATTCTGTGATCTC